GATGCTCTATTTATTTGACTGTACTTGTTTATAAAACTTGGGGACATCAAGTTATTTGGCTTATTATACATAATCATAAAACATTTATATAATTAGTCTGTACTTGGTCATCAAACATTTTGGACACAGCATGTAATTTGACTATTGTTAATTCAGATGTACTTGATCATCAAGTATTGTATGCTATCAGGTAGTTTGAAGCTTGTTTAATTTAATTGTATTTGACTATTGAATATTGTATTTTATCAAGTAGTTTGAAAATTGTTTAATTTAAATGTATTTGATTATCAAACTTTGTATTATATCTTTCATATTGGTGATTTTTTTAATTCATTTAAATTTTTTCATCAAACTTTGGTTAATATTATGTAAAAATTATGTATTATGTATTATCAAACTATGGGTGATATTATATGGTCTGGTCTGATGTTTGGTGTATTTCATCATCAAACTGTGGAAGATGTTATGTAGTTTAATGTTTGGGGTACTTTGCCATCAAATCGGTGATAACTTGTGGGTGATGTTATGTAGTCTGATGTACTTTGTCATCAATCTGTGTAAGATATTATGTAGTTTGATGTACCTTGTCATCAATCTGTGTAAGATATTATTTAGTTTGATCTTTGGTGATTTTTGTCATCAAACTGTTGTTTGTTTAGTGTACTTTGTTATCAAACTGTGAATGATATGTAATCTGATGTTTGGTGTACTTTGTTATCAAAGTGTGGATGATATTATGTAATCTGATGTTTGATGTACTTTGTTATCAAACTGTGGTTGATATTATGTAGTTTGATAAGTTATGTTTTTTACATCAAACTGTGGGTAATATTATGTAGTTTGATGTTTGGGGTACTTTGTCTTCAAATGGGTGATAAGAAATTGTAGGTGATATTATGTAGTTTGATGTTTGGTGTACTTTGTCATCAAACAGTGAATGATAATAGGTAGGTAAACAATGACTTATAAGCATAAGGAAAAGTTTTGTTGATGGTGGAACATACTACATGTTTCTTACAAAACACTGGTTTGTCTTCTTCACATATGATCTGTTCTAAGCAATACTGGGTTTATATATATAGTTGCAAAGACAAAAGACACAAGGATTAAATGTGATGGAAATGATGTAAACAGATGACAGTATTATGGGTAATGATCAAGTGTATTAGCAATGAATGAACCTTGCCAAATACAGTTGATGTTGCTAGAGCCATTATCACAGTTTAGTGAGAAATCATTTGCTTTGATTTCTACAGTATCTAAACAGTCTCTTTCTGTTTTAGTTTTGGATTGGTGTAGGAGAAACATTTCATCCCAAAGTATTTTGTGACCTGTTTTAAATCGATGATACATTAAAGCAGATATCTGAAATTCACATCTATATATGTGATCTTGGTGTTCTTTGCATCTTATATCCAACGATTGGGGTACCATATATACCTTG